TGTCAAACCATGATGCTGCCACCACTGTTTGACAGTGGGGGTTGTGTGTTCAGGGTGATGAGCTGTGTTGCTTTTACAGCAAAACGTAACGTTTTGCAGTGTTGCCAGATAGGTTGAGTTTGTTTTTTTCTGACAAGAGCACCTTCTTCCATGTTTGCTGTGTCTCCCAGGTGGCTTGTGGCAAACTTTAAACAAGACTTTTTTTTTTTATATCTTTAAGAAATGGCTTTCTTCCATAAAGGCCAGATTTATGCAGTATACAACTTATTGTTGTCCTATGGACAGAGTCTCCCACCTCAGCTGTAGATCTTTACAGCTCATTCAGTGATCATGGGCCTCTTGGCTGCATCTCTGATCAGTTGTCTACTTTTTCGATCAGAGCGTTTAGAGGGACGGTGGGTCTTCAAGGATTCGCAATGGTCTGATACTCCTTCCATTTCAATATTATCTCTTGCACAGTGCTCCTTGGGATATTTAAAGCTTGGGAAATCTTTTTGTATCATCATCAGCATTCAATGTCTCCACAACTTTATCTCAGACCTACAGTACCTGGTGTGTTCCTTGTTCTTCTTGATGCTCTCTGGGCTTTAAACAGACCTCTGAGACGATCACAGATTACACACAGGTGGATTATTTTTATCATCAGTCATTTAGGTCAACAATCGATCTTTCAATAGATCATCCTCATGGAACCTCTGGAGAGAGTTTGGTGCACTGAATGTAAAGGAGATGATTAATTTTGCACACCACATTCTTCAGGTGAAAATATCCAATAAAACTTCATGATTGTGTCCCACTTGCTGATTTTTCACAAAAAAATATTATTTCCGATCTTTATGTTTGAAGCCTGTAATTGGGCGAAAGGTCAAAAAATCAAGGGGGGCGAATAGTTTTGCAAGGCACTGTATGAGAAGGAGCAGAAAAATGTACAAATGAACAGCCTTCGGTTAAACCCACTCTTCATAACACTACACTGTCTCGCCTGGACACCCCTTAGATTACTTTGGTGTCTATAATACTCTGTAGCTATAGTTGAATACCATGATGTATACCAAAAAGGCACATGTAGTCTAGATGCTCCACATATTTATACATTTAAATCTAGTTTTAGGAATATGGCACTGACCGCAATCATATGATATTTGTATGAAAAAGTATTTGATCGCATGTTATGCATGTGTCAGACTTTATATCAAATTGGAACATGTGACCAAAGCCACATATATCACTTATGGCATTTTTTTCTATATGGGTATTACACTCTTAGGGTGCTAATTCTTCCCAAAGATCATATGATTAACTTTGATTGTTGTTTAAACCTTAATTACTGGTTAAATTATTACTCCAAAAATATACATTTAATAATGTAGCTTACATGTAAGATTTTTTGTGGCTTTTAAAATTAGTCTACGAAATTTTTTTAAGTTTTTGTGTAGTCGGCTTAGTTTAAAAGTGTAATTGTGACGAACGGTTGTACTGAAACTGGAATTTCTCTCTGGGATTATTAAAGTATGTCTGATTCTGATTCTGATTAATGTGATTTGTCTTGCCAATTGCTAAAGTTTTATATGTGATCTTATTGTAAACTAGTTGTTAAAGATTTTCGGAAACTCACAATTTTTTCCAGATTTTGATTTTAATAATTCAGTTTGTTACATTGAACTCTGAAAGGAAAGCCAAGTACACATAAAGCAGTCAGAATAAATGAAATGTGCCTGCACAGAACTGTGAAAAAGAGCTTTTGTTCTCTTTGCTCATGGAGCAGCCTTGAAAAACATTGGAAACTAACTGAATTTATAATGCTGAACATTTTTAAGTCCAGAGATAAAAAGCTTGTAAAAGCCTCCTTAAATTGTCCCAAATACATGTTAATTGTGTATTTTTTATTTTTTTTTTGTGTTACAATGTAATTTTCCTGCCTCTTGGCCAGTACTTCCTTTGAGACTTCCTTTAATCTCAAAGGTGAAATAAAGGGGAAAAAAGCATGGAATGAACTTATAGGCCTGAAATGTGTTTTACATTAACATATAATAAAAGTAGCCAGCTTTGGTAGATATAAAAGCTTAACTTACTCATATTATTCTGTCTAGTATCAAATATTATTTGAGAAGTTCTCCACAAATCTGTTGCATAAATTCCCATAAATACGTGGCTTTTGTAGATTGCAAAGTTTTTACTCCTCTGTCCAATATGGAGGGGTCAGAGAAGTCTGGATACTGTGCTGACTGCTTGATGTTTTTAAGCTAAAAATCTTGTTCTTTTTCTCTGAGGTACTTCTAGATAGCTTGGATCTATGTTGTTGTAAGATAAACCTCGGACCACTCCTAAGGGTAATGCATTCTCCTGTGGCCGCCATTTTGGTTCAGGGGGCCTCTCACTGTTGAACCTTCCTTTCCTCTTCTCCTCATTGTAATACAGATCCTGCATAATGATTAAGATTTTAATTTTATCAGTCCATGATATATTTTTAGTCTTCATTAGAAGGCTTCTCTTCAGAGTTCACACCAAGACTTGCTTATTACGACTAATTTTATGCTGTGCTCAAAGCTTTTGTCCTTTCAGCTGCTTAACATGCAAACTGTCCCATGATTCAGATATGGCTTTAGGCCTGCCAGATCTTTTCCTGTCATTTTTCCAATTTTCATTTTGATGATGAAGAAAAAAATACTCATTGACATCTTGATTTTCTTTGTAGACTGCTTACATGAAAGACACATTAAAGTGTCGTGATGGCATGCACTTTCTATAGTATAAAACTGTTCAGCTGGTGATCACAAGGAGATGATACCACAATGTGTTCCAACATTGGTTTTATTCAGAGTGAGTTTTTTTTTTCCAGTAATTCTTAAAAGTGCATAATTTCTCACTTTTGAGTGACCTACCTTTTTCAGTCTCTTGCAGTTCTGCACTGATCATTGATTACAATAAATAAACAGGAAAAAAAATGTGGGGTTCTAAACCTTTTGACCAGTAGTGTATATTATTACCTTTCAGAAAAATAAATGACCAAGATAAAAAAAATATACAGGTTCTTAGATGTCACACTATGTTTAGGCTAATGATGTAATTCCGACTTTAGTTCCTTTAACAGCTGTCTGTTAATGCGGCAAGCCATTTTACATATGACTAAAGTTAGTATTTAGGAGGCCTAAGAAACTCTTAACTATCCATTTCTACACCAAAAATGAAGGCTTTTAAAATTTATGTAAGCACATTTGAACCATTTTTCATAGTTTTAAATATTTTTTTTTATAATATCTTAATGCTTGTTTCAAATTATTTTATTCTTATTTTTGTTATAATATAGATGAATCCAAAATTATACATGCAACTGGGATTAGGAAAGACAGATTTTTTATAACGCAAGTTTTGAACAAATACAGTATATACATAAGGTTGCCATAGGTTTCAAATACTTATTGCAAATTTCCACAACAACTTTTGAGCAATTACTGTGCGGATATACCACATAATTTAATTCATTTCAATTTAGTTTATTTATATAGCACCAATTCACAACATGTCATCTCAAGGCACTTAATGATTCAACTAGATCATACAGTCAAATCGATTCAAAGTTTTCTATTTAAGGAAAACCAGTTGATTGCATCAACTTATTTACTCGAAAGCAATCGCTCACTGATGAAAATCTAGACTGTAACCATACAGTTATCAGAAGGTATTGAAGGTGGTTCGTATTCCTCTTTACCTGTAATTGCCCGTTTGATGCCAGACCCCCTAGTTTATTATTTGTCACTTTTGTAAAATTATACTATTCTTATAAACAAATTCTGATGTGTGATTGCATGACAATTAAATTTAATTTTGGTATAAGGAGATGATAGGAAAGAAAGAGAGCCTCTTATTATGAATCAACTGACAGCCATTTGTTTGACACTGCATTTAAAGTATTGGTTTATGCATTTTCCAATCTTGCCAGCTGTCACTTCAATGTAACTCTGACTTAAACTGATTGCCTTTAGCCATAACAACATATTTATCTCTCACACTTTTTATTAAGAAGTTAGAATAGTTCTTTCTTGCCTCACTTGTGTGTCTCATCAAAAATAAAGGAATACTGATAACAGAAAAAGGATTCAGTTTTAATTTGATAATTTTATTAATGAATGGAAAAACTATCCAAATCTACGTAGACTGTACAAACGCGATAAACTGGTCCTGTTACCCTTGGCAGCAACAGCTGGCCTCAAGCATTTTTAAAGCTGCCAATAAGTATTTTTATATAGTTCAGGTGTGGGCATTAGTGTCCCAGCAGATGTTGTATAAAATCAATTTGGCACTGTAAATTCCTGACACTTTTCTCTTTTCTCCTGTATGGCTTTAAAACCATGACCTCTGATGCCTTAAGTGCGCCTTAACTACTGTTGTCTGTATCAGGTGTGAAGATCTACTGCTGAAGGATTTAATCGTACAGGCCAAATGTTAAAATTTTATTTTAAATGTGAATTCATGACACTTGGACAATTATAGCATTCCAGTCTTTGCAATGGTAGTATTGCACACATTAATACGAGCATGATGAAACATTTGCAGTATAACAGCAACAATAATATAGGCTACTGTTTCCCCCATACATGTTGCAGACTGTCTTTTTATGTTTCTATTGTATTTTTTTTTAGGTTTTACATATTTGCCTTTATAGTTATATCCACTTTGTTTTTCATTCAGGTTCTTGGTGGCGTCAATAAAGATCTTCCTTTTTAAAATACCATATCTCTTAATAGCACAATTTGTAACAACCGTTGTCAATTACTCTAGTTGTTGTTGAAAAAAAGATCGCTAAAAGGTGTGATCTTTAAACATTGTTTTAGGTACACCTGTGTTATTGTGCTGGGTGTAAATATTTAAACAAAGCCTGAAAATAGCCTTATTCTAAATGAAACAAGCTTTTAATCGATAGGCATTGCACTGCCCTAAATTACTTATTCCCTTTGAAGTTACCGGAGGGCTAACTTGGTTTGTGACCTTTTTCTCTGCAGCACCTCCAACTGTCCGCATCATTCACTCCGGGCATGCATGCAACGTTGAAGAGGAGAGACACACAGAGAGAGTGTACACCATCAGAGAAGGAGAGACCCTGGAGCTCACCTGCCTAGTCACAGGTCATCCTCGACCACAGGTAAAGGAAGTCATTTCATATACCCGGCCATCTTAAATCACAGACATAAATGGCTACACCAGGATATCATGGGACAGGTTGGTAATTGGGCCTCCATCTGTCTTAGCCTTTTAATTCTATACAGGCATCAGAGTTGCACACTAAACCGGCTTAAAAAGTTTAATCCTTTAATTAATGATGGTTTAGCTTTCACTGTGCACCTGCGTGTTGATAGTAAAAGCCTAATGAGAACACAGGAAGCAAAACAGCAGAAACATCTGCCAAAACAAAGTATAATGAGTGAGAAACGGGCCACGGTAAAAAGACTCTGGGTCATGCAAATCCACATGGATGCTCAGCGTCAGATAAAAGCTTTTCTCGCATTCGTATTTACAGATGTGGTATGAACTAATTAAAAAAAACGTAGGCTTTGCATTTGTTCTTGTTTTCCACTTCTTGCTTTCATCACCATCACATCAGGCAAGAGTGGAAAAAATGTCTGTCTTCTTGTTCAGAAGTTGATCCCTGAAGGTATTAATTTGCTCAAAGTAACCCAACCTTCACTCTCGCTGTCTTGTAATAATCTTCTGCTAACCTTTTGATCAGTAAGGTCATGTTTTTGCAATTAAATAAAGTTTCCTTTATTCTCACACCCGATCAAGCTGATTTGCATTACATAATATGACTGAACTTTTTGATCGATGGAAAGGTTTGTTATTATTATACACTTGCCCTTTGGATGTCAAAACAAAGGAGCATATTGATTTTTATTTTCCGATCATTCAGGTAAAGCCATTTCAATTAGAAAGTATCAAATAATGAATGGCATGCTCTTTTTTGATGGACCAGTTGCAACCCAGCTCTTATCATCTCTCTTTTCAATTGATCAGGACTTTTGAAAAACAGAATGAAGCTAGAAGGGGAAGGGTGGGAAGAGGCAAGAGTGGGAGATCAAAAGCCCTGCAGGGCTCTGGTTGGGGAGGTAGCATTGCCTTTGAGACAGCCTTTATAATACTGGCAGATCCTGTGGCACTAAGGGCCTCTGCTGTGTCTCTGTAGACTTTGGGACACGTCTGATTTTTCTCCCCCTCTGGCAGTAGTGGGGAACCCGTCTCTCTGCACACAACCATACCAAGGTACCATCAGAGGTTGGAAACATAAGAGTTACTTTTGTTATTGTTAAATAGAATGGAAAACATGACCTGATTGGCCACAGATGTACAACTTTTTCCCCCTATAAATTAAGTTTCTCTTTTTAATTAATCAATAATCAAGATCTCTCTTTACTCCTGAGTTTTACTTTCTAATCAACTTTTTTTTTATCTTTCACAAGGCAATTTTTATAAGTTCTTTCAAATGTTGTGTGGCATTATCAGCTAAGCCTAGACCACAGTTTGATATGTTGCAACACCAGATTTAACTTTGTCATTTCACTGTTGTTTAATCATTTACAGCGAAGCCCAAAACGAACGTTTTCATCTCTGCTTACAGACGGAATCACTGGCTTTATAGTTACAAACTGAGAATACGTTTCAGCAGGTCTGTCTTTTACCAGTAGGAAATGTAACAATTGCTAATGGTTTTTGAGAAATATACTGAAAGAGAGACACCATCTGTTCAAATCATCATTACAAACAAAATATATCTTAATAAAGTGCATAGAGCTATTGAAAAATAATTTTTAAGTTGGTAGGTTTTGAATCTAATTTGAAATAATTTTTTCTTATATATCTTTATACTGTCTATAACCTTGAAAAAGCTGAAAAACAATTGATGTATAATAATAGAAGAAAAAAATTTCTCGAAGATTTCTATGTTAGACTTAACAACAGGGGTCCATTTCACATAGTACGTTTAACAAACTTTGATTCAAATCCTCAACTCTGAATTTATCTAGCCTAAGGTTGGAGTTTTCATTTCCATAAAAGCCTATAATCTCTTAATTATTTTCTAAATTTAATTTTTTGAAGCAGAAACTGAATTTCAGAAAGTTAAAAAAGAAATGTTACTGGTAAGAATTAAGTTTTATATATAGTGAGAAATGTTTGCACATTTTAGGTGGCCGTTTTAGGATGTATCAGCTTGACTGAATATGTATTTATGACATCTGAAATACATTTCTTCATAGTCAAAATAATACAAATGATGAACACTAACAATGGGAATATGGAGATCTGATATTCATTTCTAGATTTGGAGAATGTTTAATCTAGATGTGGAGATTGTCATTTTGAGATGGTCATTTTAACCAGGGATTTTTGTTTTCAGATATCAGAAATACATATTCAGTCAAACAAATACATCTCAAAATGGCTTGCCATAGTCTGTGGTAACCATGATAACATTAAGGATTTATTTCTTGAATGGTAGTTGATCAATGTATTGAATTTATATGCAATCATCTGGCAGCAGGTGAAGATGAAGAAAAAAAGCGTTGTTCTAATATATAGAACCTGGTCATCATCTCATGGAGTTTTTCCTTAGTTTGATTTTGTCTTCTATCACAAATTAAATACTAAGTTGCTGTTTGCACCCACTTCAGAGGTTATCAGCCCAATAAATGCCCACAGAATGGCTTTGGATTTTACCAGTAGGTTTAGAAGGTTGTTATCACTGAGTGAATCCTATACTTACCCAAAGATAAACTAGTACACATTAATTGTTTTCAAAACTGAACTAAGTTCACAAACCTTTAAATGAACTAGTGTAAGTTAATTTGGTAAATTAAGCCACAGTGCTACACAATAGTAATATAATATTTCACCCTTTAAATGTGTGATATATTGATAGAAATGGAAAATAATCAATGCAATTAAGGTATACTTAATGTGCAATAAAGCCTTTATTTAGCATTAGAATTACATAAAACCTCAGAAACATTGAGGTACATTCAGGTTCTGCAGAAAAGATCTGTATCACACATTATTTCATACATTCCTCATTCAGTAGCAGATATTTAACTTGATGTGTCACTTTAACTTTTAAGTGGACAAGGCTGACATATGAACTCTTCCAAGCACTCTGTAAAACTGGCATCAGAAATACCAGCAGAAGAGTCTGAATTGCACAGAATAGTACTAGCAGTAAAAATGCTGGTCTGTCATCCTGTATGTGGTAATAAGTGCGGTAAAACCTCATGTTATCCAATGAAAAGTGTCTTTATCAATTGAACGTGAGCTGTGTGTTGCTCATTATTCTCAGAGGGAATGTTGCTCTCATTCACGTTCATTACTTCAAAACTGGTCTTTTAAATTCACTAAAAATATGAAGTATTCAGAGACGCCATTCATTGAACGTGTTCATGAAAAACACCGGTTACTACAGTGACTGAAACAGAGGTTTAGTAAACTCTGTCTGAAACAAAAAACTAAATTTTCCATGCTTTCAGGGTTTAATAAAAATCGTTTTCAGTAAACTTGCTTAATGAAATGGACCCCTGGTCAACTAAGGTGCAAAACAACACATAAACACATTATCTGTGTTTTTCATTCTATATTTGCACTTGGTTTTGTGAAACACAAATAACAATGCAGGTCTCATTTAATTTCTGTTTAATACTTTAACTCTATCAGTGTGCACACTTCTTAGATTACACAGGAACCCCGCATGGATTTCTGCTTCTGTCTCTGGATTGTGTCCAACAAAGCAGCAGCCTCTTCATAAGGGGCTTTAATGTCAGCTTTAAGCCCATCCGCCCACCAACCCAACTTGAGGGCAAAAACACAGGCTTTCTAATAATAAAGCCTTAGATTCATACAATCCCTCCACACACAAACTGCACACACATGGTTAACACGCCTGTCTGTCTTCCTATTTGTTTACCTGAAAACAGATTCACATGCTTTTTTCTGCTCTCTTGTTGGCTTGGCATTTCAAGGTGTGAGAACAGAAGCTGCTAAAAGAAGGGGACTGTTGACATGTAGTAAAAACGCCAGCCAGTAATTTTAAATTCTTACAAATGTGCAATATTTACTTCTTTGTAAAAAAAACAAAAAAAACAAAGTTCATCTCTATAGCTTTAATCTTATAATTTTGCCCAGTTGCTCAGAGGAAATGAAAAAAAATATATAACAAAACAAAAATTTTAATAACAGTAATAATAACAATAGAAATTTTATTATTCTTACACTGGAGAAATTCACTCTCTGCATTTAACCCATCCCCTTGGGGAGCAGTGGGCTGCCATTGTGTGGCGCCCTGGGAGCAGTGTGGGGTTAAGGGTCTTGCTCAGGAACCCAGAGTGGAGGCCATGAGGATCGAATCGGGTACTTGCAACCTTTTCAGAGGATAAGCATGATGCTCTACCCACTAGGCCACACTCCCATCAAATTTAGGAAATATTTTTATTAATAATACTTTAATAATTTAGTAATAATACAACAAAATATACCTAACTTAAAATGATAATGTTCAAATATAATGCTACTGAAAATTAACATTTCCTCTGTTTTCATGTTTAGTAGTTATTTTATAAGCCATGCAAACTGACGTGAAATGTTGATCAGACCAAAAATCTTCTTGACTTGTTTTTTTCTGCTTTTCTTGCTGCTTCCCAGTTTTATTGTTGTCATTACCTATGAACTTCATTTTTTGGCAAGGAAAAGCTGTGAGTTGTGTCAAAAATGAAATACAATATAGATTTAATAGCTTTTACAAAGTGTGGAGCCTAAATAACCTATTTATTTTCTGTCACACTTTTGGGACAAACCTTTCCTCAGAACACAATTAAAATGCAGAGTTGTGAGAAAAATCCAAGTCAAAGGTACCGGTAGTATTAAAAATAAAATTATATAAAATTTCTTACTAACATAACATATACACATTTCCCCAAAAAATATCACCTATAAGTACACCAGACACATTGTACCTGTCCTTATATTATTTCCTCACTGACTAAGTTTTCTAGAATAAAAAAAAAATGCTAACTATGTGGGTCATCTTAACAATTTCAAATAAAGGAAAAATTGTGAAACCAAACCAGTAATGTTTTCTCATAATATGTGATGCTATTGCACTCTTGC